AAAACAACAAAGCTCAGAGAGCATCAAGGACCCCTCAGAAGGAAGAATTATCCTTCTATACACAACCATTGGTTCTGTCTAACCTGCACTGTATATAAGCATATGCTGTCAACCCTGCTTCTCCTTGGGAGACAGAAGGGAGCTAACGGCAATTATTTGCTCTCCAATCAGCAAATGAATATCCAGGAATACCCCAAAAATAGATGAGCAAGTAGTAGTTTGATGCTTCTATTCATCCTTGCCATTCGCTTGCTCAGATATGTGGATGAGAGACTGAATATGTTCTCAAAGAGGCAGGGTAGAATAACCCCAGACACTAACTTGCAGCAGATGGTAGCAGAAAACAAATACTGTCAAGAAAAAATAGTTCAACAAGAAAGTGTGAAAGGCTTCCAAGGTAATCTAAAATCTGGAACCAACCATAACATATTTTTAGTGTTTTCTTTCTTTTCTATCCGTGATTTCACTGCTTCATTTTTGAAAGCAAATATCTTCTTTAGTTGTGTGTTTTGTTTAGGTGGTGATTCTCCCTTGAGAATGATTGCTCAGCACACTTAGTTTGATGATTGCTACTAAGGGACATCTGAAATTCTGCAGAGAAAATTGAATTATTTAAATGATATGGGCTTGGGCAGATATTTAGGCAAATCACCAAGGAGTCATAATTTCAGGGATTTTACACAATAGCCATAAGGGCTGGAAACTAAAAATTCATATTATTAAAACTCCAGTTTCAGTTACCATTATGCAAAACTTTTGATATATTGTCTAAAATTGGGCAACAGGCTCTGGTGATAATTCAGAGTTGGGGGTCAGTGAGTGGCAGGGGTGAGTTGGTCAATAAGCTTCACCAGTTGGATTCATGGGGAGGCTTGGAGTGAGACCAACTTGATGCAACTCCTGCTGGTGATGCAGGCTTACTACAAGAAGAGCAGCTGTCTTGGGATGCCACTGTCCTCACCACTGTTCAGTCTGAATTCCAGCCAGCCTCTTCTTGTCCCACCAAACCATTATATAGGCCAGCACTAGAAGAATCAGAGGAGCAAATTTGATTGGTATGCTACAGCCCAAGATGGCTTGGAATCTCCCAGAAAAAAGAGATCTGCAATCTCTTGCATTTTGGCGTACTTTTTGTGATACTCATACCTGGTCCTCACAACTCCACAGAGGGACAACATTCTAGTCTCAATCCAAAGCAGGTTTATGTAGCTGACTTCTTAGATCAGCTACATAAAGTGAGCGTCATTGCTGGTTAGGACAGCAATAGTACCCCAGACAGAAATAGGGGAATAAAAATCCTTAGGGAAAACAAAGCAGTAAATCAAGAATCTTTTGAGGTTGTTTATTGTTTTGATCTGGAGATGTGCTTTACCTTCACACAAAGAGGTAACTGCTTTTTAAAGATCTTGCCTAGTGGGATTATAGTCATTTGTTTTGTGTCCCTAGAAGGAAATGTCTCTGGTGAAAACTTTGTAGATAAGTAACTAACAAACAAACAATTGTTCACAGGCTCTCAGCAGTCAGATTTCTTAACACAAGGCAAAATAGTCCACAAACCTGATTTACCTTTTTATAGCAACCATGTTACTAAAATAGGAGGTTCAAATGTTCCTAGCTGGTTCCCTAATAAAACATATAGCCTATATTTACCCTAACCCAGGACTGTTCTATGTAGGTCTGGGGGTATTCATTAGCAGTTTTCAAATGTGTAATACTACAGAAAGTGTAGATAGACAATACTAATGATGTCTGCCTGAAAAAGCAAACTTTTTCTCAACTTAGCCAAAACCATTTCTTCTTTCAAATTTCCATCTTTTTTCTTACCATTAAAAAAATTTATTAAGAAGAGAAAAAAAGATGGGAACTTGAAAGAAGAGATGGTTTTGGCTAAGCTGAGAAAAAAAATAGTTTTTTTAATGCTAACCCTAGGAACAATCTCTTGGGCTAAACCAGGGGTCTTCAAACTTGGCCCTTTTATGACTTGTGGACTTCAACTCCCAGAATTCCTCAGCCAGACACACTGGCTGAGGAATTCTGGGAGTTGAAGTCCACAAGTCATAAAAGGGCCAAGTTTGAAGATCCTCGGGCTAAACTGATTCAGGAAGAACTGGGCAGTCATGCACAACTTTGATGGTGGTGTTGGGGTTGCATATTTTTTTAAAAGCCTAATCAAGCTTGTGCATGCAAAATGGAAACAATGTCAAACTTGCTCTGAGTCTTCTTCCATACTTTGTATGTGAAATGGACAAGGTTGCATAAATTCATTTATCATTTTAAGAAGTTGCAAGTCTCCTTAAAATGACACAAGATACAAAGTATGAGAATTTCTCCCAGAAGGCTGAGTTCTCAGAGAAGCTCAGCATTCAGGATAATTTCTTAAATCAGCAGAGTATCATTATAAGGCTCTATAACTTTATTTCTTTGGTGAACTTGCTGTGATCTGGGTTTGGTTCCATATAGCTATATATAGGCCCTAAGTATAATCTTGCCTTCTTCAACTTGATGCTTTCCAGATGTGTTGAATTACAATTGCATCAATTCTCAAAGCCATAATCTTATACAACATCTATTGTACTACCATTCATACACATGCGTTAAAAAAACCTGTTTTTTTTATAAAAAATTAATTTGTGAAGCATTTTTGCAGTTTTACTGAATGCAGCTGTTCTCTTTTAGTATCTTGTTAGCTTTTTCAGTTTATTACAAGTTCTGTGGCTACAGTTATGAATACAATGCACAGATTACCCTACAATTTATCTTTTTAGCCTTTTATATGTCTTGAGTTTCACGCTTAGATTCTCTTTCAATAGTTTGATCTCAAGAATTTATGCATTTAAAATAGTGGGAAATAAACTCTGTTGTGTTGCAATAAAAATAACTGATTTTCTATGGTCTCACCATGTCCTTTGAGTGCCCCAGAACTTAGCAAAAGATAAGAGCTACCTTTTCAGATTATTTAATATATACATGTTGTTAGAACAGCATAATATACTTCAATTTTTGAGAAACGGTATTTTCCATAGCAACCTCTCCATTCTGGCTTTTATGTCTGCTCAGAAAAGCATTTGTCATTTTTAAAGCCCAAAAAAAATAATCAAATGTGTTTTATATCCAAGTTTTTCCCTCAGTCAGTGGTACATTTGTCTTCAGCGGCCCATAAAATGAAGGAAAACTTCAGCTTTAATTCTTTGTTCAAATATCTTTCTAAATTAATTATTTTTAATAACCAAAGCTGGTTAGTTATTATCCTGCAAGTAAGATAAACCAGTTTTACTTAAAAATGGGTACTGTGTCTGGGTGTATTTATGTGCATATTCACACACATTAAAAAGTCATGCTGTGTTTCACGTTCCATTCACGTGCATGTGGGCACAAAAGGAACACTTTCTACAACTTTTTAAAACAATTCTGTCTTTTTCCAGAATTTCACAACTTTTAACTTAAACTGTTAAAAATCTCTTTTCTTATATTTCAGTTCATTCATATATTTTCTGACTGCTGTTAGCCATGCTAAGTTTTCTATGGATACCAGAGACTCCCAGCTAGGATCAAAAAGTCAAGGCCACCATTTTGATTTTTGGATCCCTTTTTGGATATTCCTGATGGATATAAAGGTGGGATTATAAACTGAACTCATTATGCACATACATTGCAGTAAGTATAAAACTTGTGTTAACTACAGAACTCCCATACTGAATGCAGAACGTGGCAGTGATTTATTTTTTTGCTCTAATGTTCACTTTCAATTTTTGATTTCTCATTTCTTGCCTTTGGTTGTTTCTGCCACTATTTTGGCAGGGATAGGTAACTATTATGCATTACATATAAGATGGATTCAAACCAGAAGAAATAATTCTGTCACATGAATCTTGCAGGCAGTTCCATCCAAGCCATGAGCAAAACTGGATCTGAGAAATCCAATGTTGTTGTCATGGCCTCAGGAAACCCAAAGCCAAGAATTACCTGAGGTTGATCAAACACAGACAACACCTGAATAGCTGGGGCAGAGAATAATGTCAGGCTTCCACTCTTCCTGCACCTGGCAAGTAAAGTGAAGAGCAGAGCAAAGACATTCTATAACAGGGGTCTTCAAACTTGGCTCTTTTATGACTTGTGCCTGGCTGAGGAATTCTGGGAGTTGAATTCCACAAGTCATAAAAGGGCCAAGTTTGAAGACCCCTGTTCTATAAGACTCCTTGCCAAACAAGGGAGTAAATCCCTTGATTAATGGACAGTCCTGATCTGGCTCTTGGAACTTTGGACTGGATTTTGACTATTCTTCTGTGTGTTGTCACTAAAAATAAAACCACTTAGACAAGCTTCTCTTTTCAGAGATTCTATTTTGGACTGCATTCTTTGTCTGTTGTTATCTCCTTGATCTTCAATAAAAGGTTAATTTCCATAACAACTGTGTGTGTCTGTGAATGGTGTGCTTTGCAGGTGTAGTATGTAAAGCAATCGTATAAATGGGATATGAACAGTACGTGAACTGGGGTTGGCGTGAACAACCAAGTACAAACAGCACTGTGTGAGACTCTGAATGTTTCAAAGATTTCCCATTCCTGCCCTAGTTAAATATATTGGAAACAAACTTCTATATGATTCTAATTTTTTTCAGTAGAAGCTTGGGCTTCTATAGATGGTGGGAAAATTATTTTTTACATTTATGAATTGATGTTGGAACCTCAGAATTAGTTTTACTTTAACATAACTATCCAATAAACAATAAACATTTCAGAAGCAGAATGAAACTAAAGTTTTATTTGGATTCTCGAGCTGGATATTGACCTGCCAATGTTTTCAACACTGATGTAAACAATTGGGTGAAGCGTCTTCAACCCCAGTTGGTAAAGGGAATGAAAATCTTGCAAATAGAACAATGCAGCTGATTTTATTAACCAGAGTAAATATACCCGAAACGTTAAGATTTAGCAAGTAACAGCATTAAAGAAATTTTCAATCGTTTGTTGCACAAAAAACAAAGACAGATAAATTATAAATTTATTAAAACTAATTTTATTATTATAGTAGTATATACATTTTAAATCCACATGCAAAAAGATTGCATTTTCAAGAATTATTACATTTTCTTTAAAATGTTTTTATCTCTGCAAAAATAATGTGCTTGCATAGATGTAGAATAGTACTCTTTTTAAGAGCTATAGACATATTAAATAAATTAGCAGTTTCATCAAATTATCAATCTGATAACCAATTATCAATCAAGTTTACAAATGCAATAATATTAAGACTACTTTTGTCTCTTCTATGTAATAAAAGTATAAATAGCAACAATATAGAAGAGAGAATTATGAACGATGTCTAATTATTCCAGCCATGTAGGATTCAAAATTAAGCAGGTCAACATTAAAAAAGGAGAATGTAATTTTCACTCTTAGTCTAGTTGTAGATAGCAAAGATTTTGTTTTGTTCAAGTCTGCAAATACTATTTTGGTTCAAGTACAAAAATTCTGAAAAATATCAGCCCCGTCAAGCCAGTTTTGAAAGCAGTTGAGCCCTCTCTCATGAATCTGCTTTCTCCCTTTATCAGTAATGACTTCTCCAGTTTGTTTAACAATCACAAGTTTGGGAATGGCTGTTATGTTATATTTCTTCTTCAGTTCACTGTAAAGAAAAGAGAAAAAATGCTATACTGTGTGAACAAATGAACAATCAGGCCTGTCACCATTTGTCCATCGCTGTGACATTTGTCTATAACTGATTTTGAAAACATAATCAAGCCACCTGAGTTCTCAATGATTAGGAAGATGCTATTTTCTTCAAAAATTATATCTTTGTTTCTCCAAATACCGTATGTCTTGAAAGGTTGTACACAAATGTCTCATTTTTTAATTTTATCAGTACAAAGCAGAGTGTTACAAAATGTTTCAGGCTTGGTCAGGATTTTCTTGTATATACTCAAGACAATGAATTTTGTATTTAAATTGAAGAAAAAAATTCTACTGACGGATGCCCAATGCAAATCCGTTACATGAAATACTGTGCGATAGATCTGTGAATATCTACTCCACTGTCAGCTAAAGATTGCAGCAGCTTATTTGGGGTGAACTATTGGTTCAATTTAGCATATCTAACCAATTTGAGGGCAGTTCTAGCATAAAATTACCTTCATTTTCAAGCTAATGTCCCACAGTCAGTAAAGAAATTAAATTTGAAAAGAGATTAAATATTTCAGCAAGATAATGACTGCAACTGTACTTTCAAACCTACCATGAATACTTCCTGGAAAGAAAAAGAAAAATTTGAGAATGACCTTCTCAGTCTCCAGCCTGAAATATTACTGAAATTCTGCAAGATTTTAATTAATTTATAAAATTTATTGGCTGCTCGTCTTATCCCAGGACCTCTCTGGATGGCTTACAATCATAAAAATGTATTTATATAGTATATTAAAATATAAATAAATTCAAACCAGGCATTCAAATCTAATGCCATGTGCGGAGGGTGGGGGCTGGCTGGAGGGAGGTGGGATTGGTTGTTAATCAACCACTCCACTGTGCTGTTCCTCCATTGGAGTCCCAAGCCAACTGGCAGAGCCCTTATAAAAGGATAGGAGGGTTGGGGCCAACCTCACATCGGGGGACAAGATGTTCCAGAGGGCAGGAGCCACAGCAGAGAAGGCCCTCCTCCTGGACCCCGCCAGTCAGAATAATCAGGCTGACTGGACCCACAACATGCCTCCTCTGCCGGCATGAGTGGGAAGGGCCAATCCCAGTGGGGTGAGACGGTCCCTCAAGTAGCCTTAATCATGTTAATATATGCAAGGAGACATAAGAATATTTCTGGGCTAGAAGAGAAAACATCCAAAAGCCAATGATTGCCATGAAGGCCTGCAAGATAAGTTAGCTTATAAATTGCGAAAATAAAATAAAATGATATTGAAATTACAAGAAGGAAATGAGTATTAATGGATGATGTAGCTATACAAAAAGTATTTTATCAACCTGATGAGCCAATTATTCACACAGAATCAAGGTAAGTGGAATTCTGCTTCATTTCTGAACAGAAGCAAAGAGGGCCCCCTCTGCTGACAGTTTCAGTTAAACTTCAGCAAAAAGGAAGAGGAACCAAGAACCAGGTTTACGTTAAGGCTTTTATACTTTTCGCACAAACATGCACAAGGTTACAATCTCACTCATTGGTTATTTATCATTTCCTGGGCAGACTGATCTGGACCCTGCCCACATTCTCCCCATAGCTATAAACTAAACGTCACACTATTTCTTACAATGTTTCCTAGAACTGTTCGACAAACTAATGCCTCCTCTATTGATATCTAGGCCTTCTGCAGTTTCTAGAAATCATCGTGGTTGATTCTTATCTGTGGTTTAGCATCTGCTGGCAAACTTCCGTTTATCTGATCTAGGTTGCCACTTTGCTGAATTTTTGCAAAAAAAATTCAGTTTAACTAACACTTTATTTGCTGTAGTGTAACTTAACGCATAGTTCTACCAGAGGTTCTTTTATAAGTTAAAATTGAAGTACACGTCCTTCACTGAACAGGACTTCACTGGACCAAGACTAAAGTACCAGGTCTTCATAGAAGACATGATGTTCTGTTGGAGAAAATATAGATAGTCCTCAACTTACAACAGTTTTTAGTGACTATTCAAAGTTACAACGGCACTGAAAAAAAATGACTTATGACCATTTCCACATTTATGACCATTGCAGCATCCCCATGGTCATGTGATCAAAATTTGGATGCTTGACAACTGGTTTATATTTATGACGGTTGCAATGTCCCGAGGGGTCACGCAATCACCTTTTGCGACCTTCTGACAAGCAAAGTCAATGGGGAAGCCAGATTCATTTAGCAACCATGTTACTAATTTAACAACTGCAATAGTTCACTTAACAGATGTGGCAAGAAAATTCGTAAAATGGGGCAAAATTCACTTAACAAATTTCTCACTTGGCAACATAAATTCTGGGCTCAATTGTGGTCGTAAGTTGAGGACTACCTGTAGATGAATATCTTAGAAAAAGAAATCTATTGAGGATTACAGAAGAACAAAGACAAATTACGAATAGACCATAACACAACAATAAGAAAACTTTAAAAGTAAATCAGGAAAGGTACCTGGACCAGATGGATGTTACATTTCACAAATAGCATAAATAACTGTAAATGGAGACTTAACCAAACCAAGATAAAATCTGTTTATAAAACAGACTTTAAAATTAAGAAAAAGGTAAAATAGTTTGTTATTATTATGACAAATAAGAATCATATGTTATTTTTAGACGTGGAACGATTCTAAAAAGGACATGTTAAGATGGGATAAAGTACAATTGTCATTGCTGGGGAGAATTTCCGTGATTAAGATGAAAGTTTCACCTAGAATGTTATTTTTGTTTCAGACAATACCTCTTTTGACAACTGATGTACCCTTTAAAAATGTCAGAAGGATATATCTAAATTTGCAGGGCAGGGAAATCACCCCAAGTTAGGTATAAGGTATTTCAGGATCCAAAGGAAATAGGAAGATTGGGTCTAGCAGATTTGAAATTATATTTTGCTGTCTGCTCTTTAACTTGGATAAAAGAGTGGATATTGCTAAGAAATATAAGGCTATTGGAGTTAGGACACAATCTGAGATTTGGGCGGCATGGATATCTATGGAATGACAAAGCTAAGGTTAATATCTCAACATTAAAAAAAACCTAAAATCATGTTATCCTGTCCCACCACTTCTGGCAAATAGAAAGAGAAGAAATGGAAGCAGTGAGAGATTTTATTTTCTTGGGCTCCAAATCATTGTAGACAGTGACTGCAGCCATGCAATGGCTTTTAAACACTTGCTTCTTGGGAGGAAAGCTATGGCAAACCTGGACAGCATATTAAAAAGCAGAGACATCACCTTGCCAAAAAAAGTCTGTATAATCAAAACTACTACTTTTCCCAGTAGTAATGTATGGCTATGAGAATCTGAACGCTGAAGAAGTGATGCTTTCAAATTGTGATGTTGGAGAAAACTCTTGAGAGACCTTGAACTGCAATGAGATCAGATCAATCAACCCTAAAGGAAATCAATCCTGACTGTTCTTTGGAAGGACAAATACTGAAGCTTAAGCTCAAATACTTTGGCCACCAAGTGAAGAGAGAAGACTCATTGGAAGAGAGAGGACTCATTGTTGTTGTGTTTTGGCAGGGATGGCAGAGGATGAGATGGTTAGATAGTGTCACTGATGCAATGAATTTTAATTTGAGCAAGCTTCAGGAGACAGTGGAGGAGAGGTCCTGGTATACTATGGTCCATGGGGTCTTGAAGAGTAAGACATGACTTAATGAATGAGCAACACATAACAAAGATTAATGTATATTTCAAAAATCATTATGTCAGGTAGGCCATTTTTTTAGGATGTGGAATAAATATAAATCTAGGTCATGTCCATAAATACTTTGTGGGTCCCCAACACAAGAAGGACTTTATAGATGAGAAATGGTAAGTAAACATAAATAGTTAAATTACTGTGATGTACTAGAATTTTCTCAAGGAGATTATAAAATAAAATCAAGAGAAGTTTTGCTAACAGAAAGATATATTTGCCAATTATTTTCCTATGTACAATTATCAGAAAGATTTACAATGGATAAAAGATGTTATAGTTTTGAACAAAGTCTGAAACAGGATTATGTTCAATGAATAAGTTGTTGCTAAAATATGTAACTTTTTATTGAAATGTGAAACAGAAAAAGTTGTACAGAAAATGTACAGAAAAAGAATGTATGATAAACTAGGCTAAACTAATGGTATTTGTTCCCAGAGAAATTATCTATGTAGGAGAAAGACAGGTAGAGCATGGGGTGGAGTGAAGACAGGAATCAGCCTGGAGTCATTATTTCCCACAAAGTTCTCTTGAATTCCTTTAACTCAGTGTTTCTCAACCTTGACAATTTTAAGGCATGTGGACTTCAATTCCCAGAATTCTGGGAGTTGAAGTCCACATGCCTTAAAATTGTCAAGGTTGAGAAACACTGCAAAGTTTAACTCTTACAGTATCTAGCACCAATTAACCTTATCTAGGCTTATCATTTCTCAGGCAACCTCCGACATTTTACTATATCCATAGTGGTCTAGGTGCTACCTTTAAAACCACTGGGTGGAAAGGAAAGTTTGGGTGCTACCTTTAAAAGCAGCTAAACAAATATCAGTATACTATTACACATAATGATGAAAACTATTAATCTGGTAAATGCAGGGCTTTTTTTCTCATAGAACGCCTAGAACGGAGTTCTGGCATCTTTTTTGGATGGAACCTTGTAGGGTAGGCAAGGCAGGTTGTATGACGTGTGTGAGTTCCAGCACTTTTTTTTTTTTTTTTTTTAAGAAAAAAAGCACTGGGTAAATATGATCCCATGAAGAAAGATGCCCGTTGCAAGAAATGGGGAACCGTAGCTCCAGAGAATACAGTATTCCATGTTGTTGTTTATATGCCCATTTATTTGCAAATGAACAGTGAAACATATAAAGACACTTCAGGGTTGATCTCCATGCTGTGAAACTTCAAAATGTATCCCAAATTGTAGGAAAATCTGGAGGCTAAAAGGAGTTCAGGAGCTATTATCTCTGATAAGATTTTGCACAAGGGTAAAATTAATCTTTCTGATTGCAAGCTCTCTGTCCTACCTACCAGCAAAATAACTCTCTGCACAGCAATGTAAAATCTTTGGCCTAATGTTAATGACTTGACTAACGGAGAGTTATATGATTGCCTGAATGTAATGGATGATTACTGGTTAAAATGCCTGGGGCATCCTGGCTTCTTTCTTAAGTGCCTATTTTTATTTTTTTTTCCCCATTATTTTCTTGTTCCATTACAGTATAAGAGTTAAATCTGAAGAGGAGATAACTAAATTCTGGCTAATATCCATTTACTGTACTTTATTCTCTTCCTCTTCAGCACTGACACATACTTTGGGGAGCCATTCATCATCACAAATGCATGTTTAGAAATAGTTATGCATTTTAAAAAAATGATAAAATGAGTGCTCGGCAACAGAGGTTTTTTTTTTCCTTCTGAATAATAATGCTATTCCAGTGGGAAAAGAATCATGCCTTAGTGAGGGCTTTTTTTATTATTGGAAAACTTTATAGAACACTGAGGGCTGTAGGCATAGGGAGAGTAAGGAAGGGATACATGAATAGAAGGGATACAAGAAGAATTGGTGTGATCAATAAACACTGCACCAAAAGTTGTGGAACAGTCCTTGGAAATTCTCAATCATCCAGATCATGGTTGTGCTTTTTCGAAAAGGCAACTGGACTGTCTTGGTTTTTTTCCCCTTTGAAAACATTTCACTTCATATCCAAGAAGCTTCTTCAGTTCTGAAGAATCACTTCTGAAGTGAAGAAGCTTCTTGGATGAGAAGAGAAACGTTCTCAAAGAGAGGGGAAAAAATAACAACCAAGAAAGCCCAGCTGCTTTCCAGAAAAAGCAACTTTGCGACAGCCATTCAAAGCACTTTCACCACAGCTCCCCATGGTCCCTTCATCACTGCATCTCATGTGTTTTTACTTATTCTTGTGCCTCTCGAATGGGCTGGATTACAACTCCCATACTCCCCGCCAAAACATTCAAATTATGGGACTTGTAGGCCGAGCCATCTGGAGGGCGCCAAACCCGAGGAGCTGACCAAAAAGTTGCCTGCTCAACTCTAGCAAAAGACTGACGGGGGGTGGAGGAGGAGGGAAAGAGCGCTTTTCCTCAGCTTGCAGGCGCCCACCATACTCACTGCTTAAGGGGGTCGTGGAAGGGCAAGGCCAGCCAGCCCGGGTGCATCTTGTACATAAAGCTCGCCATTTCTTCCCGGTTGCGGTCGGACGAGATGAAGACGATCCGTAAAGGGGCCGGATTATCGACATCCACCAATGCGCTGTAGAAATCGCACAGCGTCGGGGTAAAGTCCCTGCAGAGGGAGCACCAGGCGGCCGAAAAGTACAAGCCCACGATTTTGTTCTCCAAAGCCTGCTCGGGATCCACGAAGCCGCCCTCCAGGTTCACCAGGATCCGCCCGCTGAACAAGTCCACCATGCTGCGAGCGAGCGAAGGATACAGGCTATGGGCACATTGAGGAGCTTCGTAAGAAGGAAGGAGTCACCTGCAGGACGGCCAGCCTTTGAACTGCTATGCCGACTCTCGCAAAACATCCACAGGACAACTTTCCCCGATGGCGGGAAAAAATGGGCACTGTTCTCTTTGCCGCTACTGCTAACTCCCCAAGTAGGCTCTTCCCTCCCAAATGTGCCCTGGGAGGCGGCGCGGGGCGCAGTCAGCAAGACGGGCTCTCGGATCCGATCTCTGCCCAGAACCGCCCTGGGGAAAAAAAAAAAAGGCTCGACGCCTGGAGCGCAGACACGTAGGCAGGAGAAAGAAAACGAACGTCGGGCCCAGAGAATCCGATGAGCGGGATTAAAGGCTTGTGAATTTATTCTCCTGAGTCATAAATGGATTTAACGTTTTTAAAAATAGACCCCGAAAGCCAGACTTAGAGGAGCGTTGGGAAAGCTCGCATCTTTTCAGTAATATTCCCCAGACCCCGTTGCGCCTCGATGGGGCGTGTCTCTATTGAGAAGACGGAGCGACAAGTGTGATCAAATTAATGGTCGCCCTTCAAATCCAAGACTACAACGATAGGCCAGCACACGGTCGACTCAGGCGCTCGGTCCTGCAAAATGTAGGAAAAAAGGAAGGAAGGAAGCTTGTTAGGAGCAGGACTAAAGTGTTCCCTCCTAGAGGACAGGGTCCTTTTCTCTTTTTGCGTTGTACTTCGCCCAATAACCTTCCGAGGAGTCTTCTTCAGCCAGGTACTCTAGTATATTGCAATGCAGAGCATTCTCAGTCAGCACAACCACATTGGAGCACAACCGGGAACAATGGGAAGGACTGGTTAAGAACTGACACAGAGCAGTGAAAACAATTGCAAAAGTATGCAAACCTAGAGGTTTGTCTAAGGGGAACAATGCCATCCACTCTTTTAATACCCTTGTATCAGTGGAGGAGATTTTGGATTGGAATGGGTTGCCTCAGCTTGAACTGGCTCCTCCCTTAGGTCCTGCAGTTATGAGATAACTCTGTTTTGCACCTATTCTGCACCTCAGTGACTACCACCATTCCTTCCTTTCCAACCAGTTTCTCACTTCCACTTTTGGCTGTCTGCTCAGGTGACTATTAATGGGCTCATAAAGCTGTTATTTAAAGATGAACTGCTCCCCACTGTATGTAGACAGAAACATTCACAGCCAGGAAGTATATCTGTATGCCCAGGTACATGAGTATTGCCTTAAGCAAGTTTTTTGAGTAATAATAAAAAAATATTCTTCCAGTGTTTTTGAGTGTAGCCCTAGGAGGCTCCATCAATGATGATCAATAAGGAAATCTTAAAAAGAAGAGACACAGCCATGCACTCCCGGCATAATTGTTCAAATTCCTCAGTTTCCTAAACAAGTTGCAGGCCTTATTAAATAAATATATGCTGGAAATTTCTCCTGATAACTTTTGTCTTACTCTTTCCATCTTACAAGCACTCACTGCAATGGAAAATATCAAGCTTTGCTTTGGTTGCATAGCAAGTGCTCCTTTGAGAATGGTACGGTAGATTCAGATGAAAGGAGCTACAGATGTGGGTTGTTTCTATAGTATAGTCATAGGGCAGCTGGGAATTCTGAGATTGCGGTCCCTGTAGCCAGATGAGAAAAGGCTGAATGTTAGTATGGGAAGAAAAAGATCAGATTTAAGTCGTCACATCACCATGAAGGTCATGAGTAATTTTAGGCTAGTTATTATCTCTCATCCATCCTACTATAGACAGTTACTGAGATTAAAACAAGAATTAGGTCCTCTGGGAACATACAATACATAACGCATAAGAAATAATGCATGGCTATAGGAGCCTTCTGCATCTTGTATTTTTCTAACTATCTGGTAATTATATGCAGTGCAGTTTATTTATGTAGAGTGCAAAGCTAATATCATCTAGGGATGTAGAAGAGAAGACCTTAGAGAGTGAAAGTTATCTTGTTTCCTCTAAAGGAAAACTAAACCAAATCACTGAACATGATTCTAAGAAAAAGTGTGGATTATTGTACTCTGCAGAGATACAGTTAACAAAAGGCCTCTTATAGGTCTAAAATATTTATGACTATAAATATGCTTAACTGTAAATAGAGCAGCTTTCCACAAAGTAGATTTTGTTGTTTATATTACCCTTTAGCAATTAAGTAATTATAACAATCATAGATCTTCCCTTGAGAACTATTAAACAGCAAATATATATATTTTACTTGACTATTTGATGAAAAGGCTAATTTTAATATACTGCAGATGTTTAATAAAATTTAGTCATTTTAGTTGGAGGAGCAACTGGTAAATAATATATCATTTTGTATATTTATTAGACATCGACACCCATAACTCCCAACTCACATGGCTGAGAAACATTGGAATGGAATAGATTAATAAAAGGCTTTTCGTTTGAAAATAAGGATTCAATTATTTATGCACAAGCTCTGGACATGTACCGTATTTTTTCGTCTATAAGACGTACCCTTGTATAAGACGCTCTGGCATGCGAGTTTCTCTGCGCCGATCAGCTGAGCTGGCAAATCCAGAAGTTCAGCTGGCTGACGATCTTGCCCCTCCCCCCTCCCATTAGTGGCAAGCCCACAGGGGCTTGACACCTGCACCAGGCAGCATGGCAACTCACACAGGCATGCTCTGGGCTGTGGAAGTTACCATTATTTTTCCGTGTATAAGACGGTGCACTTGTATAAGATGCACCTAATTTTTGAACAGGGTGTTTGCAGGAAAAAATATCGTCTTATACACAGAAAAATACAGTATATTCCATTAACTCATATAAACTTATTGTAAATTAAATGCTGTTTTACGTACGGAGTCACAATCTGTAGTTCTCAACTGCAAGTTTCCAGTTTGTATTGGCTTAAGTCATAGGCGAATTAATGGTCATTTTGGCTTGACTCGCCAGAAAAATCAAATACAGATAGCCCTTGACTTATGACCATAACTGAGACCAAAATTTATGTTGCTAAGTAAAACATTTGTTAAGTGAGTTTTGCCTCATTTTTACGACCTTTCTTGCTACAGTTAAGTGAATCTGGCTTCCCCATTGACTTTGCTTGTCAGAAGGTCGCAAAAGGGAATCACATGACCACGGGAGATTGTAACTGTCATAAATACAAATTAGTTGCTAAGCATCCGAATTTTGATCACATGACCAAAAGGATGCTGCAATGGTTGTAAGTGTGAAAAGACAGTCATAAGTCCCCCTTTTGAATGCCATTGTAATTTTGAACGGTCACTAAATAAACTGTTGTAAGTCAAGGACTACATGTAGCTGGCGTGTGAGGAAATACCTTCCTTTTTAACACTTCTTATGTCCATGTGAAAATACTGTATTGGTCTTCTTGAAGACCAGTAGACATGAAAGCACATTTAATGGCCTTTTGAAAGATCACTAATCTTATCTGTGGGTTCCTGGGTGATTTACATTGAAAAACCAAATGTATTACTGATTTTATTCCAAATGAATTTTCTGTTGCTTCTGCAAGCAGGGGTTTTAACTGTTTTAATTCCTTTGGAGGGACGTGATAGCATTTTGCCCACTTAAATGTCCTTTTGCATACCTCATAACATACTTCTAGTTGCTGTCAACAGCAACCGCTCACTTTCTCTTGTTGAAGTCTGAGATATTTAATATTCTAAGGCAGGGGTGTCAAACTCAATTTAATTGAGGGCCGCATCAGCATTGCGGTTGCCCTTTGGCCGGGTGGGTGCGACCTACTGGGTGGGCATGGACAGAGTGGGTGTGGCCTACTGGATGGGCGTGGCCAGCTCTACATCATTCACATCAAGGGTGCCTGTGGGGGCTTGGGCAGGAGTGGGATAGATCTGAGGGTCTCTGGCAGAAGAGGGTGGGACCAGGGCAAGTGCCAAGGCATGGTCCACTGGAGGAGCCTCACTGTTCCTCTCAGGCCATGCGGGGGTGGGTGGGTTATGGAGCTAAGACTGAATGCGTTTCAGCATAGATGGCCATCATAAAATTGTACATTGGCTCCCAGCTGGCCTGGGCCAGGGCCAAGGCAGAGGGAGCCATTCCCTCACTGTTTCCAGGATGGCTTCGCAGGCCACATGAAACCACTTCGTGGGCCGCATCCAGCCCCCGGGCCTTGTGTTTGACATGTCTGTTCTAAGGGGAAACCGTTTCTTCTTCTAGCCCAGGTAACAGAAGAATAGTGAAAACAGTCAACAAGTTTTCTGGAAGACTGATAAACTTTCGTCCAAAGTAGCCCAACAGATATCAATGGGCTGGAGATGGGGGGGGGGGCTTTACCTCAGAGTCCTCTTTTCCACTGAACTGGAAATCTTTAGGCTGGGAGAAATGTTTTCCATTCTTCTCATCATTTGGGCTTCCAGAAGCATGTTAGTTCTGCCTTCAGAAATAGCCCGAGTGACAGGTTATCAGGGCACAACACATCCATACTCTTCAACTATCGCTCAAGTAACTTGAAAAGTGGCTAAAACATCCAACCACAGAGCTACCCATAATGACTCAAATCCCACCAAACTTTAAGGAGAATAATTATTTTTCTCCATAAGCAGTTGACATTGACTGTGAAGGAAAACAAGGCCAGGGGCATCTACAAATAATTGCTGCTATATTGTTTGTAGAAAATTGAACAAACAGAAGTACCTGCAACCTTATTCACTGAGGCAAATATGAACTTACTTCTCAGGGCTTCAAAATTATGCTGCATACTTTTCTGCAGTTTCAAGGACAATTGGAACATATTAAGACAATTATGAGTTACCATATCTGAATTGCAAAACTTGAGACAACCACAGGATTGCAGCAAAAATATGCTATGTATGGGGGCCCTATTTAAGGGCTGTAGATCTTATACATAGCTGGGAGTTGAAGTCCACGAGTCATAAAAGAGCCAAGGTTGCCTACCCCTGATCTAGGGTGTAATTCAGCTTCCCACACAGGAAATGAAATTCATGAAATTTGTCTCGTATTTTTATTTCTGTCCAAAGTAGTCCACATCTCCCATTGTCAGACTCTGCTTTTGATTTCAAATCACTTCATAGTCTTCTCATCTGAACCCAATCAATTCCACCACCTGCCATTTAGTACAGTTCCAGAGAACTGTAATGTCAATGTTCTTCTCCCTTTCACTAAATATAGCAACTGTTAATTCATTTCAAACCTTTCAGCGGTTTCTTTCTTCTTTAAAAGTCAAATTCTCCAAGAGGCAGTTTAGAACATTGTTTTTCAACCTTGACAACTTTACCACACGTGGACTTCAACTCCCAGAATTCCTCAGCCAACCGAAATATTTGTTTTAGAATAATCCTGGTCCAAGATTTACACAGTATTTCTCCTTCTGTTACAGTTTTAAAGGGAAATGACTGATAAAGAGGTACTTTATTCATTGCAAATATGTATGTATGGGTTTCTGTGCCATATGCAAATGTTGTCCCTCAAAACAACATTTAAAATTTAAAACATCTTTAAAATTACACCAAATCTGTACATAGCATAATGGTCTTTCCTTAGTTTTATGCCCATCAGAGACTTGGTTGGGGAAATTAGTTGATAATCATTTGTCTTTCCAAGGAGTCAAATCTTGGGGAAATACTGAGTGAGAGGGACTTAGTTACTTTGCAATAAACCCATCTCTTCCCTTTTTTTTCTTTTGGATACATAGTGGGCAGACAAGGAATTGCCAAATACAGAAGCAAGCATTTTGAATTAAGCTTGATTCCTGATAATTATATGGACTTAATGTCTTATTATCTTCCTAACAAATAGATGAAATAGGATGATCTTTTTACAAAGCCCCTGATGTAGGCCTCCACTCTACTTTACAATACAGTCATAATCAGGGTTCATCTCCAACCTAGAGCAGGCTATAAGATCTTTTCATTACATCATTCTTCAAAGCATGAGGGCCATTTAGTATTCTAGCAGTAAATATGTAACAGTCTATTTTAAAGTACTTCATAGTACTTTAAGCTTCTTTCCCAGTTCTTAATTGCTTGGAAAAGGGGATTTAATAATACTGCATACAGAAACACTGCGTAGTTTGTGAATGACATTTGATTTGGAAAGAGTAAAAAAGCCTTTAGGTTTCCATAGCCATCCTTAGGATTTCTTCCTTAATCTCTCATTTTACACTCCTTTTTCCATATATAAGCCAAATTTGACAGACCTTACTTATTCATGCATTTAATCTGTTTTACTAATTGGCTACTAGTGTTGTTTTATGAAAAAATTTAACTTCATAATTTTACTGGTTCCTAAATGGAGATTGCATTTTTGTTTCATGAGAGATGTTGAGTAGCGCTGACAGAAAAGCTAGATATTAGTATTTAGAATAAAGTGGTAGGAAAATGTAATTACTGGAGAGCAAAGCAAGGAAATGTAAGATCTCAGTTTCTTCAGTTTCACAGCATAGGCCAGTATCAAATTCATTCAATGAAAGTATATTCTATTTCAAAGAAAGGGAAGTTTTGGCCAATGTCAAAAAGTTACATGAGTGTGGCCATTGTAGCTCTCAAGTCTCTTTTTGATGGCCTAACTTTGGCTACACAGGCTAAATATCAATGACATAGTTTAATGCTATTTTGAAATCAGCAATACTTGAAAAATATTGCCCCCAAATAGTGTGAACATAGTTTAAGACTCCTTAAATCCTGGTTAAATCTACTTTGTATCAATGTGCCCTCTGACCTCCACACCCAAGTTAAGTGTGCCTGCTGACCATTGAAATGTTTCATTTCCATTCTGTTCCAATCAACTGAATTGTTAAGCATTAGTTTTATAACTTTTCTACTCTCCGTTTCAATATGTACTGTCTATTAGTAATATATTAGTCACTCTTAATACCTTTGAAGATGTGATGGAATATGCACCTGTAGCAGCAGAGGGGGCGAATATTCCCAACTCAAGAGCTTTCCCAGAAAGAGACCTGGATCAAAAGACTGTGGTCTCGAAATGGAAGGGGAGGGGAAACAAGAGGTTGAGGATAACTACACCCTAGAATCTCCCAGGATATATCTTAGCTTAGAAAATTATAGCTTTAATTTGGCACGATTCTGGCCATTAGGTGTAAGCAAATAAAGGATTGTACTCAATTGGATTTCACTGACTGGTCTCTCGGCTTGGGCCTAAAAGAAAAGCCACTCTTAAAAATGCATTCAATCCTCATTCATCCAGCAGTTCTCACATTTGCACTTTGATTATGGATTAAATACAGGCATAAATTTAAAAATGCTTCCTAG